TAATAATGATATTAAAATCGCTTTGATAATCATATTTCCTCCTAATCAACACTCTTTAATACCTCGACAAAAAAAAAAGTATAAAGGAAGAAGAGAGCTTTCAAGACAGAATTTTGTTTTATATAAAGCTCCGTGAGCTTGTACATCAACCCAATATATGCTTATCGCATGTAAGAAGCGTTGCGAGCTGGAATGCTATCGCGTGACCCAATAACACGCTGATAATTACCGAAATGCATCCCAGAGAGGCCTTTAATCATCTCAACCGAGGGAATCCTGAACGATAAGACATTCTTCATTCGTTATAAAACTGGGTGAAGCGTGATAAAGCAACCTAATTTCAACGCTATTGCATTCAATTCATTTTCTTATTATCGTTGTCCTTTTTGTTTAGAAGATACCGTACACTTAAATTTAATGATACTGGTAACACTATAATTAGTATTTCAGACATGACTATTATTAGCTCGCTCTAATAAAAGTCGTTATGACTACTAATTTCAATCAAGAAAATCGAGCATGATCTGTGTACTATTATTAACTTAATACGATAAGACTAACGATAAGAAAAAGAGAAAAGAAGAAGAAACACAAAGACCAAATAAAAAATACGGTTACAAGACCGAGTGGATTCGAATAGATAAATAAACACTTAGCTCTTACTGTACGAATCAGTAGTGACTATTGCTTGCGCTGCAGAAAATTAGCAACTGCGAATAACAGCTAAGGAAAATAAGAAAGATTAGGAGACATTAATGCAATTTTTCCCTTCAGCGTTTAGCCATAGATCATCTAGTCGTTTCAACCAGGAAAACGGTAGCCGATTGCCCAATGACTCGCTGTTTATTATTCATGCACGTTATCGAAAACGAGTTTCAGATAATACCAAGTATGAGTACGCTTTAAAAGTCATGTTACTTCTTCGAGCACACGTCGCGAACGGTGACATATATAATACTTCGCGTAATAATCGAATTTATCTTAGAATTAAGGTGTCGTTTTCCTCCGATGCACGCGATCAAGCGTCAAAAAGATATAACCAACCATAAAATAATGATATTAACATATTCGCGACTGCTGACGTGAATTCATGTCACATCAAATTCTATTTCTGGTTATGAACAAATTATGAAAGTATTTTCATTTTATATACTACATAATTACAACATCGATCCTTCAAAACATATTTCGTAATTTTTATCTTCGTCCTAACGACACAGATTTGCGATGTTCAGCTTCAGAATTTTATTAGGTTGGTTGGTACTCGGTATTAGAAACGTAAAACATCTGTCGCGAATGTGTTAAAAATACATAGGAACGCTCCTATACCTTGAGAAAAATAAATTACAACGGAAAAAAAAAGAGCTTTTAAAACAGAATTTCGAAACTAACGTTTCAAATGCTCCGACGACGACGAACCCTCGTAAAGTCATCAAGAGTAATGCCACGTTAAAACTCGAGCCCCGATCCAGATTCACGTTCCCAACGTATTTCACGTTGAAATATTAAGCTGCGATGGCAGCGCGTTGCAGAAAGGCGCGATATGCATAAGAGCGCGATGAAATGGCATCAAAGCGCCGCTTAAAATTATGCCACGTCATTTTTAATTAGCATCTATCGTTAACCCACTTGGCCAGGTATCCAAGAAACAGCGTTGAAATGATACCTTTTCCGCGGCCGGCGATTCTCGCACGAATATATGCTGTTAATTTAATCAACGCTTTCTCGGATTAGAACCTCCAGCGTTTCGTAATTAAATTCCAATTCGAAGACACCGATCCCCGCGATACTTTACGTAAACGAACGCGTAGCCGTTCCGAGAGACGATAAAACGGCCGTAAAACTGGAAAAAGACTAGATCGGTATCGCTGAGAATATCCTATGTTTCACAGCCACGTAAATTAGTGGAAAAAAGAAAACGACGGTTTCTGTTGCCATTTCGCTGTGAACTCGTACTTAGGGAGTGTTACACGCGTTAACGGGGAGATATTCATTCGTTATTTCGACAGAAATTTGCTGAGTATTTCATTACGATACCGTGTAGATACTTTGTTACCAATTACAGAAGTCTGTAACGTCCGTCGGAACAAGTTTTATCTAACATCACTTTCATTTCTTCGAAATTATTAGTTCCAGCTGATTCCATTAACGACTGAAGTGTAAAACACTAGTGAAATGAAATCAGTTAGATCTTTATGTAGCACTTACCATACAATTTTTTTTTTATTTAATATTTAGTTAAATAAATAAAATTTACATTTCTGTTAAACAGAATATACGTTGTAACATATCACAAAACAAAAAATAGTCGGGTGTACATTGTAATAACGAATAAAGTAATATAGTGTCCGAATATTAATACGAGTAACTGTAAAGGATGAGAAGTATGGAAGCTCCACTATTGCAACCCTTATTACTTTCAGTCTCTCTTGCTTCCATTACCGGAAGGAAACCGTCGAGGCAGGTTGCACGCATGGAAGCAGAGGGAAATGAAACGTGGTGGAAGAGAACGAGCACGACAGGTTGTTTCCTCGTACGTGCAATAATTGCTTCGCGTAAGATCGCAAAACGGTTTTCAGCGAGCGGTACGTAAACGCGCGGCTAACCATTGGAGATCTAAATCGATCGTTTTAACGTCCCGACGCCCATCGGTTGAATATTATTATGCAATTCGCTGGGAATACGAAGAACTAATGACGGAGAAGAAACCTGCTGCGGAGTCGGTACGTTGCGTAATTGCGAGTAATTAGTCCATTTACGAGGTACGTACGGTTCGAGGATCGTGCATATGCACGCAACATCGACCGGTGTGCAAGCGTCGGCGCAAGAGGGCATTAATTCTCCCGTTATTAATGCATTTTGATTGGATTTTTTTTTCCACGGCAACGTTACGTTTATTGCACCATAGATTCACGCCCCGTTACACCGTCCGGCTCCATTAATTAAACACAACGGCGAACTTAGCCGCTCATTTGTAACGTTGCTATGATGCCGCGGCCTGTGTGAGTCTGACGTTACATTAACCTAACGCGTTGCGTGTCGGCACGCGTTTTTACTCGCGAGACAGACGTTTTTCGATTAGGTGCAACTATTGTTATTCTCACCGAACAATTTCATGGCAGGTAATCGAAACTATTTGGATTTATTGATCTGAATTGATACATGTACATTCACTGCTAGGCAAATTTACAGCGTTTTGGGTAAAACTTTACTTCGGTGCCCTAACAATTATTGACTTCTTTTGGCATCAAAAGCTAATAGCTGATATACAAAAAAAGTCAATAATTTGGAGTGTCCCGAAGTAAAGTTCAGCCCCTTGGGTTATTGCAATCAATTTGAACTACGAGAGATCTGGTAGTTGGCGGTGAATGAGTTAATAGCTTTTGGAATAGAGATCCTAGAATTATTATAAAGCCTGAATTTTAAATAAGATCCACAAAACGAACGGTGTTCTCCATTCGCGCGGGTGTTGACAAACTTTTCCAGCGACCTCGGCGTATAGAATCGATCGCCAACGGGTAATTACAAGTCGGAGACTCCAGCCTGGAGTATCGATCATCGGAGGGAGTCGCGGCCGAGATTGATGTTGTAATTAGACTCTGAACGATGGTCGTGGCTCCTCGAGCCCCGTAGCGTGAAACGGTCGCGGTTCGATTTCAGATTTTACGCAACAGATAATTGTGTCCCGGGTATTCGAGCACCGATCTACAGCGATTCCAGCACGACGAAAAATGTAATCGTTCATCTGGGACGAGCGATCGGCCCTCGCAGCGGCGGCTCGTCGCCTTCGAGATCCGAGATCTCTGGTGACGCGCGCGAATATATCGATCAAACCGCTGCCAGTGGGTTTCCACGAGAGATAGAAACCAGCGATGGCACGTCGTCGTCCCGTCGTCACTCGCGTCCCCCATTATCCGCGTCTGCTCGGGCGGTTAATGGGATCGCGAACTGCGCCCGATCGCTCCGTTGAGATCCCTCGGCGTGGTTGCCTTCGTCTTTGGTTCTCCAGCGGTTGAACTTGATGGCGATTGCGTCATCGAGTTGTGACCAGGCTGTTTCTACATCTAGACGGCTCGACGACGGCTACGCTTTCAGCCCCCTAAGCTCTCTTACTCTCGTTTTCTGCAACGCGTCTCCCTCTTTCTCGCGGCGCTCGTCCCCTTTTCCGTCTCTACGCCAGCGCGACCACTTCTCGCTTCCTTTCTTCGGCAAATCGTGCAGAACGTCGGACCGAGAAATACGCTCGGTGACTTGCATACAATAGAAGAGAGTGATAGGCAGTTTTCTGAGGGATCCGGGGTCGTTGCAACGCGCGACAGCTGTCACGACGTCCTTACGAGAGAGGCCTCGGCTCGATAAGAGCTAAGAATAAACGCGCGGACACACGCGCTCACCAACGCTGAGAAATGTACCTGTTTCGACGCATACGCGAATACCTGCGACGATATTCCGGTCTGGAGAGTTTATCGACTTCCTTAATTACATTAATAACGCTTTGCACTCGGATGTCCCCTGCATTTGTTATGGATGTTAATTCGGAATTTCTTGTTTTTTTAGGGGTGGCCTCGCGCGATGCATTTACAGACAAAGAAACTAAGAATCGAATCAACATTCTATACGAATGTATGTTTCATTAATCCTCTTAAAAACTATCATCGCTAGAAATTCCTATATTTCGCGTAGCTATTCTATTCCGATTGTATCCCATCTATTCGACCGCATGTTCTCGTCACGAGATTCATTTCATTTCTCGTCAACGTTTCCTGATAACCTCATGCGTGGCACTAGATAAATTACTCTGCAGCGTAGATGTCTACGAGAAGTCATCGAGACCTTGAAACACTTTGATCGAGTGTTTGTACTTCATTGATGTCTGTGCAACTCGTAATAAATTTGAACAAAAACCATATATCGTATATACATATAACAAATTTGTTTGTACTGAAAATTGCAAATAATGAGCCACCAATTTTTATAATTTTCTCGAACATTTGTTGCAGGCGAGAAACCGTACCAGTGCACATGGGAGGGCTGCACGTGGAAATTCGCGCGTTCCGACGAATTGACGCGGCACTATCGCAAGCACACGGGTCAGAAACCGTTCAAGTGCCATCTTTGTCAGCGATCGTTTTCGCGGAGCGATCATCTATCGCTTCACATGAAAAGACACTGATGAAGTGGACCGTCTAGCCGATGAAAGGGGGACGAAGAAGCGGAATAAGAAGAAGCGAACGGGGAAAGAAAATCACCGTCCCGAGAAATCGGGACTCGAATCGTGATCGTGGATGACGACAATGAGATTCTTCTTTTTATATTCGGGACCTGAAAAGCCTCGGCTCGGCCACCGATACGGTGGTCGGAGGCGGAAACTAGGAGAAAAAGAAACGAAGAAGCAAACAAATCGTTCATTAGGTTTAGAGGTCTAACGAAAGTATCTCTGTAATTATTGGTGGATGATCGTGCGAACCTGTCAGCAGTCGCGATGCTCGAATCGCTGTGAAACGTGCTGCTTTTTTTTTTTTTTTATTTTCATTGTTTTGTTCGTTGTTGCATAGATTCTATCAGAAGTGAACCTCTATTTTGAAATCTGTTGAACGGAGTTAGGACGTAAGAATTGTTGATATTTGAAATTCTCGTGGAAAATTTATTTATTCTGTTGTCAAATTGATGTTTCTTTTTTTTTTTTTCGCGGATTGAGCGTATTCGCAACGGATACGCGGGAAGCTGAGCTTCGACGAAGTCTGCGCAAGCGATTGCTGCAGGTTCAGCGCAACCAGCACGCGACATCGCGTCATTTCTGTTTCTATTTCTAGCCAATTTTTACTTGTTCGTATTTCCAGTTTGTTTTCTCTCTCTCTCTCTCTCTCTTTTTTTTTGTACGATTAAATAAGGCCAGCTCAACTAGTCTAGAGCACCATGTATCGTCTATTGCGAAGAATAGAGCCAGTAAAGGGGAAAGAAATAATATCGTTAAGGTAATTAAATGGTTAAATAAGTAAAGTGAATATCGAACTCCGGTGACGGAGCTTGGGACTTAGCATGCTCAGTTAAATAAACTACAATCGTGATCGTGAACATTTTGTAAAGCATTGAATAGCGATTTTTCGAGGTAAATGCACAAAGAATTTCGCGTTTAGGGACGGACAATCATTAACAACGTTCTCATTGTCAACGGAAACAAAGGAATCAGACGCTCTAAAAGCCAGTATTACGTGTCCATTAAGCAATACGGTAACGTATATACCGTCTACGGCATTACGATGCTTTCTTCGAATCTTTGTGTTTTCATTCCTTTTCTTTTTCTTTGTTTGTTAGTCGCGAAAATTCTTCGATCGTACCGGTCCGATCGGTGCGCTTTTCTGTCCACACAAGGTGCCAAAGTAGAAGGTGCAAAAATGTACGTACGGTATTGTCCATCGATACATCGTTGCGCTCAAACGTGGAAAAGATGAAAGTAGATCGAAGAATTATTTTTTTAAACGCTTTTGTATCGCGCGTTCGTCGAACGTTTTCGCAGGCTTGATTCGTGCACATTTTATTTTGGCATCTGCAACGAAACGGTAGCTCAAGGTACACTTATCAATCGCGGCCAATCGAAAGCGCTCGTGCGCGCCAACTATCTTCAAAACGCAAGAACGTACGTCTACGTTCCTCGTGGTTTCGAAAACTGTAAATAGAAGGTCGTGTCAGGGCTCGATATCATTGACGCATCGAGTCGACTGTTCAATTATCGGCAATCCATGTTGGATGAAGCGCGGTTCCGAAAGCAACGGTATAAAATGTGAATTCTGTGTATCGAGACATATCGAAATCGAACGAAGACATCGACTCTGGTGCGTTGAAGAGCGACACGAGGCTGAGGTCTCGCGATGCGTTCCTGAACGCAACTATAGTTGAATCGAAGTCCACTGGCTGCTCGAAGTCACTTCCGCGAACCTCGATTCTCACTTTCAGAGACAAAGTGTGTGTATTGAATTAGTTACTCAGAGAACACGAGAAATAGCGCAAGGAAGTGGTCAAGGATGACCAAAAGGCGGGGATGATGGGTGACCTCGAGCGACCAGATAATTTTGATTCGACCACGCTCGCAGGATAAACAGAACAGGAGTGCAGATTTATAAAAGCTAGGACGACGAGATCGTGCCAAGTTACATTCATGTTCTATTTTTTCTGCGAAGAGCACGAACAAGACATTTCGTGCGATCTCAGCCGGACGTGTCGCAGGAAAGTCGAACACGCTATTCGCGTAGCGATGCGTATTGTAAATAATTTAGAAACCTTGAGAAGTACGACGTTTCCGTATACAGCACGTGTGTAGCATTCCCTCCCACCCACAACCCCCGTTTTCTTCGAACCTGTGTTTTCGCCGCTGCGCAAGTAACGCGACTAATGGTAGCTAAAGAAAAGCAGAAACTATTTCGAAGCTAGTTAAAACGATGGAACAAGATGCCAGTATATGCTAGAGCCAGTTTATATCATTAAAGAGAAACCTCTACGTGTAAGATTAATGCGAAGATTGATAAATTAATATTTGTTACGTGTTGTATTTTCATAGGGAATAGTGCCTTTTAATGTTAAGAGAGAGGACGCTGCGTTAGGCCTTAAGTATACTGCTAGTGCCTTAAGTCACGCGAATCTTCGTGCTTGTACACATTTCATAACCCTTCGAATCCTCGCTCGGAGGACCAGCGAAATGTCCAACCGATTACTTTTCTTCGTCGTACACCGAGCCTCGCGTTTTCCTGGGAAAATCGACAATCCCGTCTATCAAGATCCGCGGTTGCACGATGAGGAATCGATCTCGCGCTATCGACTTTAGATCGTAGATCCTTGTATCGAAATGATGTGCGGTAGTATCTCAAAAGTCGGAACCCTCTTTATTAATATCTGAAGCACGAGTGGTGAATCTTTGAAACTGGCCACGCAAATAGGTCAACGAAATGGATACAACGGGATGAGGTTCGTAGAGATGACACCTGATCGTAAATTCGAGCAATTAGGTTACTATCTGAAAGATTGCTGTATATAGAAATAAACGATATGCAGTGGGATGCAATTTATAAGAAAGATGTAAACAGTGGGAGGGATGACGATCCAATAGGTGCAGCATATCTGGTCAACCATTCCTCGATTATGGCATAACTTTGACAACTCTACCAACCCCCTTGCGATAGCAAGTCGATAGCACGAGTAAACCCCAATCATGCGCTAAAATTGCTGTTACCATCTTCCTTGGAATTCAATACCTTCCGATTTCTCTAATTTCGCGACGTCAGTGTGAACGACGATCTACAGGCAACGTGTTACATTCGTCGATTCGTCGACCGATAGTACGAAACGATCGCCCATCGGCTTCACACCTTATAAAGAAGGGTCCTTTCGCGTTCGTAGCTTCACGTTCACGTCCCTGGCTTGCGTCGAAGTATGGCGATTCCATGGATGGCGCCGAATGGACCGCGCCTCCAGGATGCATGAATAATTTTCGTATGATCGTCACTGCGAAATTCAATCCGAAAATGGACGAGGTGCCACCCAGGATGCCACTCTACGATCTTGATGACTGATACCGTTGTACCTTAGGGAATTTCTTCAACGGGCCAGCCGTCAGTAATCTGAGCGCGGCACGGGCGATGAGAAATGTATACTGACGTCATGCCGACACCCTCTTTGATCATTATCATTTTTTTCCCCCGAGAGCTCGTGCCTGGTCGTGCACACCTCGACGCTGCATCTCGACGTCGTACGACGTTACCTCTCCGCTCGAGACGATTCCTCTCGGTTAATTGTCGACACGGCGATCGAACCGTGTCGTTTCTTTCTTTTCGGACAGATGTAACCCCTGGGATCGCGTTGATCTTAATTAGGCGGCGACGAGACTGTATATACCCGATTCTTGAGCGTCATAGGAGGTATAACCGTAACGATTTATCGTGGAACGAGTGGATTTTGTCATCGAAGGGCATGTTGAACGGCAACCCCTACTTTAGAATTAATTGTTGAATAGTATCATTGATAGTTGCGCGGCTCAACGAGTTCAACGAGATCTCTGAAGGAGTGATTCAAAGTTGGGGAAGGAGGGGTAGGAATGACACTTGACAATTAAATATCTGCTACTGTTTTAAGAAAGTAAGATTATGGCACGAAGCAGAGTTGTGCCAGCACTTGCCATTCCGGGGATCTTTATTCAAATTATTGTACGGAATACCATTTACGTCAGTAGATCCAATCACACGAGGCACCATCTTCAGACTTTTCGGCATTTATCATTCAAATAATCACGTCATCGATAATTGTATTAAACGTCAAGTTTAATAGGATCCCTGAAAGAGTGTTTAATTACTAATTATATAACTCAGGAGTTAATACGATCCTTGAAGAATCTGGAGGAGCAGTGGAAGGAATGAGTACATCTCACAAAACTATCGCCTAGACTTGTAACTGGTCAACAGAAGCAACGCTATGGCAACAGACTGGTTCAACGACTCCTGTTCCAGAGATCTTATTCGACTCGTCGCGTTATACAAATTGTTCAGCGAAGAATCGTTACGTTCATGGCCCCTATCACGCCGGCCACTATCCTTAGAAGTTTCATCGTTCGACTCCAACTACATTCCAAACTCCGTAATGGTCGCGCGACACACCGAGGGCGCGACTGTCGTTAAATTATCGTGAAATTGTCGTTACCGAAGGCGAACCCAGGAAATGGAGAATTTCCCGGGAACGAGCACGCCGACGACCTCTCATCGATGGTTCTCAAGGCTAACGACGAACGGAACATTCCCCCGAGCGCAGACATTCCTTTGGCCGCGACGCGAAGAAGAGATTCGTGAAAAGTTGACGCGTGCATCGGCTATTTGTGTTCCATGTTAATGCGAGTCTATTCAATTTCCCGTAGAAGACGAACCATCAATGGACCGGGGAAGCAGGGAACAGAGACCCCGTATTGAACGCGACCGATTTCCTACGAAGGCCCCACCTAGGGAAATTAGCATTTCAAGTGCCTTAACAGACGTCAACCGACAAACAACTAATCGAGGCTTCGCATTTGGATCGAAATCGCCTATCACGAACGAGCGGTGCACGCTCGCGACCGACGAGAATTCAGTTGGCACACTTTGGATTCAAATCGGGTCGAGGGCGGGAGAGACGGGGGCAAATACGTTGGTAATCGGTGTCGGGACACGCGACCAATTCGTAATCGCTGAATGTTTGCTTTTGTCACTTCTGGAAGGCTTCGTTGTTCGATTTTCCAAACAGTTAGCGTTCCTTGACTTCTGTTAACCCATTGAGTACTAAATTGTTGCTCTTCTAAAACTGACGTCTATTTTCTATATGCAGTCTGTCCCATAAGTATTCGTACCCTGTACGCCTGCCGAAGGAATTTATTTAAACTAAATGATAGGCTTGATGCTTCCAAATAAATTTCTCGTTATAAACACATACATAAATATAAAGTTTATTCACGTACATATTTATAACGAAACATTATTTTGGAAACGTTAAACTTATTGTTTAATTTTGACAAATTTCTTCAGTAGACATAGAAGGTATGAATATTTATGGGTCTGACTGTATTTAATTCGAACATATTTCGTTAACACTCTAATGGCTATGTTAATTTTCGCGATATAGATTTTGACTGTATTCAAGTAAGCATAGATTTGATTTTTCATCAAACAGTTTTGATATAAAGTACTCGTCAACTGCGTGGATTCTGTGATTAATCTTGTATCAATAATAGTAATCTGTCACAATGTTCATTTGTGTGATATGTTTTAAATATCAAAAAGTTTCTTAAAAATGAGAACAAGGAATCGAAGAAATTATTTTTTAGGGTAGCACGGCCATAGGGGTGTTAAATGGAAAACACGTTTTCTTGTCAAGTTACGATGACGAACCCTTTAAATAGAATCCTTTAACCTAGGTACATGTAATGATATCGAGATACTTGTAAATTATACAATGTAAAACGCCAAACAACACTACTGTAAGCTTCTACGAACAATTTACTACGAAAGATCATAAGACCGTAAGACGAAATTAGTTTTTAACTAAAATCTGAGAATATCGCGTACTAGAAGAATCAAGTAAATTAGTGCTGAATACTTGTTTTGTCCCTATTGTATTATAAAAAGAATTATAATAAACATTACAGCACATTTTGTTTAAGTTTCAACTTCATCTCATAACAATCACACGATACTCGAATAAGTTTGAATATCAGAAAAAAAAAATATTTATTCGAACATCCTCCAAAAAGGATATTAGTACTTAATGAGTTAGATCGACTCTTTCTTTACTTTCAATGCAACAAATAACCGAAGGAACGAGATCATGTATAAAAAGAGAAACGTTTCGCGTCGTCATATTTAAAAATTGCAGCCCCAACAACTTCGATCGTTTCAATCGATAGTTGCTCGATCGCTTGATGGTTATCGACGTACCTGAATTCGTTGTAAAACTCTCAATTTCGCAATTCTCGTGCGCTTACACGGCTGTCGAAAAATAATTCCACGGAAAAAAAAACGTATTAATAATTTTAGGGAACCATTAGAGTAACTTCTACGGCTGTACGAAAGCGAGCCCTTCGAATGGAAACTGTGAAAAACCGATAAAGAAAAAAAGGAAACGAAAAAAAAAAAAAAAATAAGCGAACGCGATGTATCGAGCTTTTCGAAGACGAAGCTGACAGGTCAGCCTGTCGAAGTAGCGATAATTTTCCATTAATCGTTTCAAGGGCCAGTAAAGCATACACACACGGACACGCACACGGGCATACACACACGCATCGGTCACTCACATGCATACCTTATCAAGCAACTGCAATAAATTGCGTCTTTAATCTGCGATCATGCGCGGTGCTCAATCTTTCTTGGTGCTTTCGCACGTTGAATTCGACGTGCGTAGATATACATCAACGTGGACAATATGAGGAGATCGGTTCTCGAAGATCCATTACGCAGAAGCGCATATAAGTGCATCGCCGCGAAAGGTGTGCGCGCGTTTACGTCTGCGAGACATCAGGCTACACGGGAGATAAGACAGGACGTTGAATAAAATTTGCGTAATTATGCAACGTGTAGGTGGACAAATTCTCCAAGAATGTTCGGTAATATGAGCAATCGTCTTGACTGTGTAGGTTCTGAAATATAATCCTTCAGTTTCCTCCTTGCTTAATAAATATGAAACGTACGTTTCTACCCTCTGATCACATAATAACTCGTTTCATATAATTAAAAACTCAATTGTATTTTCGTGACACGATTAAAATTTGTGCAATTAGGAAACTAAAAGATTACGATTACTTTTTCCTTTCGATAAGTTTATCAGAACTGAATTTCATTTTTTTTTTTGCAAGTATCAACTACAGTCGACATTCCCCCAAGCTCGAGATTAAAACCACTCGTCGCTATTGCTGGATGAAGCAATAGCTATAACCACGCGTTCCTTAAACAAAAAGTTCTCGCGCCTTTTAGACAGAGTTCACTGTGCTTTTAAATTCAGAAAATTGGAAAAAACCACTGTTGACGATCTGGAAGACGATTGATCGACGTTACTTGATCCCTACGATTCGCGTCCATTTTCAAACATAAATCGCTTCGTGTGGTCCAATGTCTCCCGCGACGAGGAACGACGCGGTGATTCTTGACTCCGATACTGAAATTCTCGTAATGACACTAAACGGAACTACTAGGTCGTAAGATAGACGCTAGCGGAGCAATAACTACTGTAAATAATATGTAAAGGTAATCGTTGTTGATCATCGTCGATGGACGAGCAGCGGATCAACGTAGCATAATTCTTTCGCAATAATGTAATCAATGGGGGCCAGTAATTCTCTCTCGGATCTCGCACGGATTTAGACACTGCGAGGCGCGTGGCGTGCCCTTGATGCTGAATTTCGCCGCGGTTCATCTTCGTCGCGCATCGTTCGTCGTTTCCCGCGGTAGAAGAATCTAAATTCGCGCGAAAACGATTTCGGATTCTTGGAACAAACAGCGTAACACTGGAACGCGAGTATCCAACTCCAGCGTTATCGAGAAACTTGAAGCAGATTTGAGCAATGATTGCTTCTGTTATCGTCGCTCAAAATCAATCAAAATTATATACATTTGCGAATTATCAATCATAAATTAGTAATTTTTCTGTGCTAATCGTGTCTGATTATTCTTTAATCGTCGTTATTAATTTCTGGGTAATTATTCTCCGATAGCGAATGGTGGATTCTGGACGTCCAATTTGTTGGAGTATCGACGAACGTGTTTCAGTTGGACGCGGGAAGTGCACGAGCGAACGTTGACGAACATTAACCGTCGCCGAAATTCAGAAAAGGACGTATCGTAAGTCGCGCGCCACCAACTATTACTTTCTAAGGATAAAACTGTATATGTCGCGTAGGTTTTTGCGTAGGATCGATAATAATATATTGTTACGACTCACTGTATAAACGAAGGCATTACTATATAAAAAAAAAAAAACAATTTGTACTTTCTAATTACTTTAAACCGCGTCGCTTGAGGACGTTGTCGCCATTCGTATCGCGCGCGCGTCGGCAAGGGAGGCTCGTTAGTGCATTAAAAGAATAAAAAAAAATATATATATATATATTATATATATATATAAATAAAAATCTATATATATATACATATATACATATACATATATAGATAAATATAGATATATATTGTAAATGTGGTTGTAATCTTATTACTGTTATATCGATATATCGATGTCCTTGATTTGGATAATTTATTTATTGCGATCGAACGAAAACGAAGAGCGTGTAATTATTGTGTGCCGCGGAAATGATGTGGAAATATGAATTATGTGGAGCGTTAGCGAATTATACTACGAAAATACGCACGAAATTATATATTTATACACGTTATCGGCGCGAGGACGCGTCTCGAAGAACGCGTTACCCAGCCGCGATGAAAGTCCTAAAGAAAGAAAGAAAATAAGAAAAATAAAACATTTTGCGACGGCAGGGCTACGCGCGTATTTAACCCCTTGGCCTACGATAACGTGCGAGGCTCGCGATACGAAATTCGGGGCAAATATGAACAGCACGAGCGACCGTAATATCTGATTGTAACGCTGGTGATTTGAAATTAGATCGTATAACAAGGGATTAAATATCGCACGTCGCGATTCCTGTCATGGAAGCGAAAATTATTGTTCTATATCGTAAAGGGCGATCCGCGTCCCGATTTGTCGTTAATAAATTATATCGTCGAGTCGCGGCAATGCGCGCACGGTGCGTCATCGTTCGTCCTGCGTGGTACAACATCGCGCCTGTCGATAATCTTATTATCGAAATGATGGTTACATATTTTAGATAATATTATTATCATTATCATTATTATGATTCTTATTATAATTGCTACTATTACTATTATTATTGTATTTGGCAGGGTTACGACATTAAAATCGTAAAAAAAAAATATGGATAAGCGTGTTGCTCACCTGCCTTTCCCTCGTGTCCCAAACCACGTCCTAGCGTCTCTTTATCTCGACGAATAATAAATTAATAGTAATATTAAGCCGAGACTTGTGACATATTTACAACATTGATATTTTAAAATATATTCTGTCATTTTTATCTTCGCCCTAACGATACAAATTTGCGATGTCCAGCTTCAGAATTTTATTATCTTCGTCGCTACTCGATATTTAAAGCGTAAAATATCTGCCAGCCGCAAATGTGTTAACGATATTTTATTTATTTTAAACACATTAACGCGCAGGGTGTTACGATCTATTTCGAAAATGAAGTATGCGCCGTACATTTGTCGACCTGTTAAGTTTCATGTACGCTGCAAAATCTATTTGCGTAAACTAACAGAATAAAAATAATAGACCTATAAATATTCACCGAGAGAACTGTGTTTCGCAAATTGATAAGCGAGGAAGGGAGGAGAAAGTGTTGGCGCAGTGGAATTAAAAGGCAAATCACGTATGGATAGGCGACGGACGTCGATCAACGACGATCGTAAAAATTATTGACCGTTGGCGAAGCGGTAGGTAACCTTTTCCGAGGACATTACCGATCACGCTCCCATATAAATACATCTGCATCCTCGTTAACGTTTTACCCGTTACACGGTAGTTAGGCGGTCGCGGGACGATAAATAAAGCCGCAACTGGGTAAAACCCCGGAGATGTTTTGTGACGACCAGGCAGTCACAATACGATCATTAGGCTATTTTCCAGAGTGTAGCACCCCGAGACGCAATATCTCTGCCGTAGCCGCGTATTTGTCCCGTCTGGCAACAAGATTTCTGCACACTGGTATTCTACTAAGTTGTAGGTAGTCTCCGTACTAGGTAAGTACAAATCCTACCGTATACCTTCACGAGAATTTGTAGTCCGAACGGCGGCTATAACCGAGGCCATAACTTAAGCGGAATACCGCCGTTGCGTTGATTCCAGTCCCCGCCGGAATTCTCCCCGAGTCGGTGCAATTGTGGATATCAACGACGACATGACGTCCTTTCATGTTGATGCCTCGCCGTTCCGAACTCCGTACTTGTAAATGAAAGCGTGTCGATCGAAACGTTCCACGTCATATAATTAATTCTCGTCATTAACCCGTCGTTCTTTCTACGTTCCCTTCTTTCTTGCGCGATCGAGAAATGTCATATTTCATAATTAGTCCGTTTGCGTCGACAGTGTCGAATACTGAAGCAATTTTACAATTTTTTTTTCTTTCATTTGTATCTTTTTATGCACCGTTATCATCTTTAAAGACCCAAGAATTCACAAGCCAAGTCCATTGATTTTTTTTCTTGCGGGCAACGTGCAAGGCGTTTAATTTAATATTTCAAATTGAGCGTGCTGTCAACTGCCATCAATATTGTGACATGTGACACGTGACTGGATATCGGAGACATCATATAATTGAGACATAGAAGACATCTTGTGGAAAAACTAAAATTATTTGGTAAAATGTCGGTATATTAGCACGTGACCTGAAAGTTCCACGAGTCCACAGAGGGTTAAGGGCTAATATTTCAAAAACGTTGGAATACTTTCGTGACCCACTCGAGCAATGCGCGTTCTTTGTGCGTTTCCATGTCTGCTTACTTACGTATGTATGTATGTGCATTACAAGGTTCATTTTGAATTAAGTAAACGCTGCTACTTGCGTCAAGTTCTCGGCCAATGTTGACAAAAAGGTCCGTGGAACAGAGTCGCTTATGGCAGCGGCGATAAGAAACTCGTACTTGCCGTGGCGTGCCATTCGCATCGCGGCCACGCGTCTTCCGATTGATGCTATTTATCGATAGAAGAAACTGGAGCACGATGCATTTAACGAGGTAACAAGAAACGCGTAACAACCAATGAATAAATAGACTACCGATAAATAGACTACTGATGCTCGCAAAGAACCGTCGAAATTAGAGGGTGGCGAGTATTAAACACCGTAAAAAGCTGGGAGGCATGTCGGGGCAATGTTTCAAAGTAAACGAAGAAAGAAAATAATGATCGAATCGCATTGTAATTTCAGATAAAGACGACATGCGCGGTGAACGTATATCCATTGGACTTGACCCAATTGTACAGGATCCAGACTGTGTTTAATTTCTTTAGTGATGATTCTTTTTTGTTACTATCAAATTTTTATATTTTTTATTATCGACAGTAATTACAATTATAGAAAAGTAAAGGTCCACATGTGTGGCCGAGGGCGTGAAGAGGCTAAGAAAAAAGAAAACGGAACTGTAAGTCGAAGATTCAGATAATGGCGTTTCAGATGGAAATATGGTAAACAAAGACAAACAGGCAGACATACCATAAAACGCATACCGTCGTAGTGTAATTATTAAACCAAATTCGCAATAAGCACCTGTGTATACTAACCTCCCATCGACATCCACCATCTCCACTACATTCGATTCCATATGTAGTTTGCAATCGTCTCTAAACAAAGTTTTAACCTCGCAGAATCTATCGCGAGTATCGGTCTTGCAGGATCCATTGAAAACAGTGAAGGGACCCGCGGGAACAATAACGAGACCCCGTGGAAAACGCATTGGCACGGCTGGTTTCGAAAGAACGATATCTGCATGCCGTCGAGGGAGCCGCGGTGAGAAGGAATCGATGGTTGCGGCACGCATCCCTGAATCGGCCAGCGCGCGCGTTCTCCGTGCACGGCTCTCGGCGCTTTTTACTGCTCGCCGGCTTCTAATGGGATCGGGTTCTCCTATAATTGAATTTACGAACGGCTCGCGTATATACCCACGTCGTCCATTTTCCAATACGGGGGCCCTGTTGACGGCCACGTGACATTCCCATCGCGTCCCGGGCCCTACGAGGCACGAACGTGCTTAACGCGCTCGCCTCGCCACCGCGATTTCCGCCGAACCCTGCCAGCCCGTGGTATATTTCCACGACGCTAATGACGGTATAACTTCCTAACGTTGTACCAGTATTTCTATTAACCGTCCGTTGGCTATCAGCAAAACGGCTACAAATTGCCCAGCGCGTGCGCGAGCCAGCGCGGTGAACAGCGAGAAAGAGGGACGCGAGGGTAAGACTTTCGCGATCCTGAGTGAAATGTATCGCGGAGATCGTCCAGGTATACGATAGGACGTGTCGGTAATTAAATATAGAAACAGAAATTACAGGGTATCGATGGGTGGCGGATGCTACGGAACGTTGATTACCGTTGCGCTGGTAATTGGACCGCCGACGGACGGAAGAAAAGAAAGGGAAGAGTTATTGGGTACAGGGTCGGTCGCTTAGTTGCAATTAGCGACACCGATACGAGCGGAACGATACTCCGCTCTGGTTGCACGTACCGTACGCGATAAATTGATAACTCCTGCGTCGCGTTAACCCTTTCGCTACTCAATCAAATTGTGACGCATGCTTCGAATGACTAGCTTTTTTTATTATTCTCCTTTTCAATGGTTTTACGCTGTCTCTATGACAGGATGTCCCTTTGAATTGCTTGATAGTTGTGGAATTCGTATGCCCTCATTGTCCATGATTTGATTGTAATACAAATTTTTGTACTAAAAAGTAACGCTATTTTTTGGATCTATGAGATATTAATTGAGACAAGGTTGAAGTTTCGACTGCTATTTCTTCGGTATAGAATCAAATCTAGTGGAGCTGCCTGATACTGTAGATTATTAACTCTTCAAGGCACACAATTATAAAAGAAAAATAAAATTCAAGCTACACAGAAGAACAGTGTCAACAACTTGCTAACGCGTTTTGACTTGTACGCATTTCTGATTCCGCTGAAATGTTTTAGCATTGATAATAACAATCTCGTTATCAGATTTACATTGTCATGTGAAATTTAATAGAACAAATTAATTTCAGACGTCGATCGATGAATAAAGTGTCTATTTCGAACATGGCCTCAACACCAATTTCCAATAAAAATGAACGTAATAATATTAACATTCTACCTTGTATAAATTCAGCCTACATTTTACCACGAATGGCTAAAATCCACAGTTCAGTA